CTCAACTCTGAAGACACCTGGTGATAGATTCAGAAGCATTCTTTTTACAGGTGATGACACTGAATAATGCTGGAGAGCTTAAGCCCTTACCTTGGCCTGTCCGATCTCAAAGTGTTCCTGTGGGGTGTAAATAACGATAGTTTCTGGTCGGGTGGTCCGAATGAAGCACATTCCCTAGGGCATAAATGGAGCCGTGGTTTAGAAAAGCAAACAACGAATTTCCAACAACAGACACTGAAAGAAGGGAGAGGTGTCAACAGGACAGCTCTTTTTCCTGAAAGTGTAGGCTTTGGAGCAAGGGGTGAGCATCTACAGCCAGTAGCCGACAGCTCTCAGCAGGACCCTGGGGCTGCCCTCAAGGACAAGCTCCTGTGCCATCACACCGATCCCCTTGGAAGATTCCCCCAATACTCACTGGCTCGTTCTGTCTGCACAGAACACTAGTTCACGGCAGAGCACTGACTCGCATTGACTAGAAACTCAGAAAAGAATGTTAAAATGTTAGTTTTTGCCACAATAGCTTATAATGCTTCATCCTCAGGAAGACCATAAACATCTATTTGAATACAAGATGCCTTGCTCCTTTCCCAGTAAAATGTAAGCACATTTTTATGACCAATTTGAGCACATAAACATTTATGAGCATAAATCAACACTTGTGTGTCTAAAGAATTTGTTAATTTATATACATATTAATGGATGCATTATAAACAAATGTATAAAGAAATACGCTATAATCCATCTTGATTCAATGTCTTCACCAAGACATAACTCAGCTGCAGTAAAATGCACACGTCCTAAGTGCAGCACTTCCTGAATGCGCTGCCCAGTGCAGAGTCCTCGTCCCAGCCCAGCAGCATCATTGCCAGCAGAGCTCCCCAGCGCCTCTTTCCAGTCACTCTCCCCCTACTAAGAAGCAACCTCTACTCTCATTTCTTTTTATTTGTTTTGTTTTTTGAGACAAAGTCTCACTCTCTTGCCCAGGCTGGAGTGCAGTGGTGCGATCTCAGCTCACTGTAACCTCTGCCTCCCGGGTTCAAGAGATTCTCCTGCCTCAGCCTCTTGAGTAGGTGGGACTACAGGGGCATGCCACCACGCCCAGCTAATTTTTTGTATTTTTAGTAGAGACGGAGTTTCACTGTGTTAGCCAGGATGGTCTCAATCTCCTGACACTGTCATCTACCCTCCTTGGCCTCCCAAAGTGCTGGGATTACATGTGTGAGTCACTGTGCCCAGCTTCTGATTTCTGTCACCTAATCTTGTTTTGCCTCTCTTGACCTTTTTAGAAATGAAATCCTATAGCATGTGTGAAATCATAGAACAATCTCCAAGATAAACTAAGTTTAGAAGTATGCAATTGGTCAGACTCAGTTGCTCATGCCTGTAATCCCAGCTAAGTGACTTAGGGAGGCCAAGGCGGGTGGATCACTTGAGGCCAAGAATTTTGAGACTAACCTGGCCAACGTGGCGAAGCCCCATCTCTCCCAAAAAATACAAAAATTAGGCAGGGTGCGACGGCTTACGCCTGTAAATCTAGCACTTTGGGAGGCCGAAGCGGATGGATCACGAGGTCAGGTGTTAAGACCAGCCTGGCCAACGTGGTGAAACCTCGTCTCTATGAAAAATACAAAAATTAGCCAGGTGTGGTGGCAGGCGCCAGTAATCCTAGCTAATGGGGAGGCTGAGGCAGAGAACTGCTTGAACCCGGGACATGGAGGTTGGAGTGACCTGGGATCGCGCCACTGCACTCCAGCCTGGGCGACAGATCAAGAGTCTGTTCAAAAAAAAAAAAAAAAGTACAGAATAGTATGTAAAGTGGGAGCCCACTTATAAAAAAAAATCAAAGAAATGACCATGAGTGCTTGGAAAGGAAACGTACAGTACCCACCTTGACTGTGCCAGGGGTTACCTGTGTGGGGCGCGGTTGAGGTGCAGGGTGGTAAGGGGCACCTGCTGAAAGTTAGTGGGAGAGGCTGGAAAGATCAAGAGCACGCTGACTTGTCTCCTGTGCAGCTCGGTTCTGAACAGGAATTGGATTCTGTCCGTCTGAGGCCTTTGTACAACATCCCACACTCTTACCCCAGGGTGCATCTGCAGTGGCTCCTATCACCTGCTCTCCAGCTTCCTGGATGTCTGGAGGCAGCAGGAGCTTCTTCACCCCTGGCTGCAGCCACCGGGGCTAATGGTACATACAATCTGGACTCTGCCTGGAGCTTGCTCCTGCTGCTTCCAAAGCACCCTCTGTTAAACACCTTCTCCTGTTTACAATACTCAAAACGGTCCCTGGTTCTTCTGCTGAGCCCTGATGAGACAGGTAGTTAGGTTTTGTTCAATATCCTGCACTGTTTGAATCTTTTACAAAGCAAATGTATTCATATGCATAATCACCTGTTTTTGTAAAGAATTCTATCACCAAAGTTTCTATCATGAATATCACTTTTATGCTGAAAAAAAAACCCAATCATCAGTATGAAACCAGTGTCCCCCTAAAGATACCTTGGCATTGGCTGCCAGAGAAACAGCATGCTCCGTAGAGACGGCATCACTTGGATAGAAAATGGTGCACATGGGAATGGTTCGGAACATGGCTATATCATCCAGGGCCATCTGGGAAGCGCCATCTTCACCTAAGAGAACCACAGCCCGATGAAAACATGAGCATAACCCCATGAGAAACCGCCCTCCATCCCCTTCTAGCTCTGAATTATTATTTATTCCTATTGCCATGCGGTCAGAGCCCCATAAATGGTCTGACTGCATCCTTGTAACTAATTTGTGTTGTGTTCTTGCACACCTGTCTCCCTTGAGATTACACTGTGACACCTCAGGTTAGGCTCCCAGCTGACTCTTCAGATGGAACACTCCAAGCTACTGTCCACGATGGCTGAGCATTGGTGGCCTGAGTTTTCCCTGCTAAGCCTCTGACACCCTGTTCTCAGCTTTGTTCTCCAAGGTCTGCCGTCTCTTTTCTACACCCAGAGATTGGGTTTTGCATAGCAGTGGTCTTTTGCATTTCTCCGGGCCTTCCAAGTAGCTAGCACTCCTTTAAGGCACTCTGGGGGTGCTACGGGGTGCTTCAGGGTGTATCTGGGAACAGAGTTTCTGGCCAGAAATGTGAAAAAGAAATCTTAATGTGCATTGGGCAGCTTAGCTCTTCTCAGCTAGGAAGGGGACAGGGGACTGTCACCATGCACACTGCATTGCCTAGGACAACTGTCTAACCTCTAACAGCTCAGCTCTTTTTTTAAAAAAAAAAAATTTTTTTTTTTTTTTGAGATGGAGTCTCACTCTGTTGCCTAGGCTGGAGTGCAGTGGCACAATCTCAGCTCACTGCAACCTCCGCCTCCTGGGTTCAAGTGATTCTCCTGTCTCAGCCTCCCATGTAGCTGGGAGTACAGGCACCAGCCACCATGCCTAATTTTTGTAGTAGAGACGAGGTTTCACCATGTTGGTCAGGCTGGTCTGGAACTCCTGACCTCCTTGGGTGATCCACCTACCTCAGCCTCCCAAAGTGCTGCGATTACAGGTGTGAGCAACTGTGCCAGACTTTTTTTTTCTTTTTTGAGAGAGAGTCTGGTTCTGTCTCCAGGCTGGAGTGCAGTGGTGTGATCTTGGCTCACTGCAGCCTCTGCCTCCTGTCTCAGCCTCCTGAGAAGCTGGGAATACAGGCGCATGCCACCAGGCCCAGCTAGTTTTCTATTTTTAGTAGAGACAGTGTTTCACTGGGCGCTGGGATTACAGGCCTGAGCCCCTGTGTTCAGCCTTCCGCCTCTTCTTTGGATTGGATCTAGAGCCACTTCTCCATGTGACTATTTCAAAACGGACACTGAGCATAGCTGCAGGTGGACTCAGGGCCCCTTTCCTAGGCCCTTCTGCCCCTGCAATGCTGCTGCGCCTCCAGTTTCACCCAGACAGTCGTGATTCCAGCTCCCTCTAGCGCCATCTCATCCAGCCTCATTTTCCCAAGGAGTCCCTGAGCTGACTCCCAGTATGCACCTCCAGCATTCTAGAAGCAAGTGTGTGCAGCCACACCTACTGAGCCCACCTGCCTGCCACAGGCACGCCAGCTGGCCCATCTTTCCCATGTTATTTCTGTTGTTCAAGAAAATGACCCCCTGATGTTTCCCAAGTGAGAAAACCCTGGAGACTTGTGTTTTTTCACACCATTGCAGAGCGCTCCATCTGTTAGACACACTCACCTCTTTCACTCTCAGATCCCCCACTCCCGGCTTCCTCCCCTACCACCTTGCACACCTGGTTTCAATCCCTTCTCTGGCTTCCCGTTGCCTGTGGTTTCCTTCTAGCCCACCTGCCAGGTTACTGCTATTCTGAGAAGGGCGTGTTTGTAAGTTACTTGCCTTGTATCATGTTCCAGGGTTCCTGCTGCTCCAGGCAGGAAGGTAGGGGTGGCGGTCCAGCCCCCTCCCCCCTGAGCTGGCTATGCAGCCAGCCAGAATTCTTGCTTTCCTCTGTTCATTCGGTTCACGCTCAGACTGCAACCACAGCGAGGGCAGAAAGGGGTCCACGACCCTGCTACCCCTGTCCATAATCTGCACACACCTCAACACAGAAGGGTCACTCAGGATCAGCAGCCGCTTTTCACAGTCTGAAAGTGGGACAGTCAACAGCACCACCGACAGACACACTTCAAAAGTTGCCGACTGCCTGATACTTTAAAATACAATATGGCTTTTTCAAACAAAAAGGCCTGAATAATCAAACTTCATGGAACCATAAGGAAATTCACGGTTTAACCTATTCCATGTTTATTTTTCTCTGTGAAGGAGGAGAGCTACCAAAATGATGGCATTTAGAACCCTTACCCACAGATACCCCACAGCGGGAGCCAATAATGTTGATGTTGCTTTCAGAGATGGCTCCCATCCGGATCTGATCAAATGCTCGGGTCACAAAGGCAGCAAAGGTGCTAGCAAATGCAATGGTCCACCCACGGGAGGCACAGCCCAGCGCCACACTCACCTGCAACACAGAGAACACGAATAGTAACATCCCTGGACACTGCCCCCACCACCCCTTCCCCACAGCCCCCATGGTAACCACTATTCTGCACCTGCTGAACTGCTCTCAGTTCTAGCGTGTGTCCTTCCCACGCCCCTCTTTCCTCAAACCCTGGGCACCCGTCCGTCCTTCCTGCTCAGACGGTGCCCTTACCTCATAGCTCCTAGGGAGCAAGAGATTAGTCTCCTCCGCCTGCCCTCTTGGTGCCCACAGCTTTCCAGGGTCCATGCCCCACCGGGTCATCCTGAATCCTGGCCTGTTCCTGCTTCCTCACAGGGGTCTCCAGCCACGCAGCTTCCTCTCCCCCTCTTGTGCTACTTCCCTTTCTCTTGGATCACTTAATTTCCATTCAGGAGTGTGCAGGCACTTTTAATCTTCCCGCCCCACCTCCGCCTTGTCCTGCCTCCAGAGCTTGCCCCACATCTGGGTTTTCTGCAGTGAAGTTCTCACAAATTGTATACAGTCATTGCCCCCTGCCTTCTCATTTCCCACGGTCTTCCCAACCTACTTCATCTAGGCTACCATCCCCATGAGGGACCTCGAAGCCACAAAACCAAGAAGCTTCTGGACCTCGGCTGGCTGTGACTTGACTTGGCCCCTGATCGTTTCCTCCTGTCGCCTCATGGGTGCTGCTGGGGCAAGTCATCAGGGCCCTGTGCACCGTCGGGAAGTCGCCTCTGGCCCAGTGCTCCCCTGATCTGCATTCTGGTAATGACCCCCACTTTACACTGCTATTCCTTGCCCCGCTTTCCCAGAAGTCTGGACTCAAATATCCCAGTAGGCTTCAAACTAGAACTCAAACCTCCCTGGGGCAACACAGGCTTTCTAAGGGGGATGTGGCTGTGGGTGTTCCACTCAAGGTCCCCAACTCCAGATCAACTCTGTCTACATTCATTTGCCAAAAAGAGGGACTGTGTTCCCCTCTGTTTTTTTTTTTTTTTTTT